TGAACTGAAGCCTGTGCAGCTCAGTGGCAGATGGCTTTCTTATTATGCACATAGTCCTAGCATGATCCACAGCACTGAAAAAAGAAAAAGAAAAAGTCTATATCTTAAACTTTTTTTAAACATAGTTTTTTATTGATTTTTTGGAAATTTCATATCATGCTCCCCAATCCCACTCATTTCCCAGTCCCTCCACATCCACCCTTCACCCTGTAGTGTCTCACCCAAAGGAAAACATTAAAGAGTAATAAAAACAAAATAATAAATACAAATAAACACATAAATTAGAATATTAATTTAAAAAGTAAACCAACCATGTCACTCTTCCATCTTTCCCGCCTCTCCATGGCGTCTTCAGTCATGAGCAGCACTGGGAGCTGCTGTGTGTGTCGTGCAGTGCACCCTTTGTGCTTCCAAATGTTCCTTGTGTGACTGCTGTTAGTCAGGTTCAAGGTCTCTGGCCCCTGATATACAGCAGCACTACTGGATCCTCATGGAAACTCCTCTCAGATGGCTTGCTGTTGCCCCAGGGCATGGTGATCCCATGGCCATGGTCCTGCAGGACTGGCCCCCTCCGTGCTTTAGCAGCTCATAGGTGGTGGATTTGTTAGGGAGTGCCAACTCCAAACACTGGCTGTGCGTCTAGGCATGAGTTGATCAGTCTGGGCTTCTGGGACCACCCCTCTCAGGTGGAAAGCAGAACAAGCTCTCCCACACTTGTGGTGAGGGATGGGGCCAGTTTTCCAAATGCAGAGGCCAGTTCTCCCATGCTGAGTCATCAGTCCCTTATCCCAGGGCTGGTGAAGGGTGGGTTCAGCTCTCTGGTGTGGAGGGTGGCTTTCCCTGGCCAGTGAGAAGCAGGGCAGCTCAGCACAGCCCTCCTATGCTCTTCAACACATGGTTCGGATGGGCTCCTGTGGTGACATGGGTGATGGACATCAACACAGATCCCAGCGGCAGCAGGATCACAGACCCAAACATGACCACAAGGGGGGAACTTGGGCCCAGATGTCAGCAGGCCTTAAGCAGCAGCATGGATCACTCAGATCTGCATGGTCCAGCAGCACTGTGGTTCCTGGACTCTGACATGGGTCCAGGTGGGGGCCCACAGCCTGGACAGTCACACAGCCTTCAATGGTAACAAGGGCCATAAATATCAACATAGACACTGGCTGTGGTAGGCTGTGGACACAGACATGGCCATTGGCCATAGCCCAGATGGCACCATAGAGCCTTGGTAGCATCACAGACCACTAAGCATGGCCCCAACAGTGTCACCTCCCTCAGACCACAACGTGGCCCCAGGTAGTGGCCCAGGCCTGAGTATCCACATGACCTTCTATGGTAGCAGGCACCAGGGCTTTCAACACATACCATAGCTATTCGGCATGGACCCAGACATGGCTCTTGACAACAGTTTGGGACTGGACATCATCTGGCTGCAGGTGAGAAGTAGGTCACCCTCATCAGCCTGTCCTTCACTTCCTTAGCCTCTTCAGATCGTCCTCTCACGAAGGACTTGAGCAGTCTGTCTCTCTCTCCTTCCCAAACCCCATAATGCACCTAGCAGGTGGCCCCAGGCAGGAGTGTGGGTGTCCTTCAACCACCTGGTCCTAATAGCTGTCTTAAACTTTTAAAAAGATTTATACCTTTTAAACTTCTGCATTTACAAGCCAGATATAAACCAACGTTCTTTGTGCTTGAAATCCCTGTGTTCTTGCCTTTGTAACCTATAAACTAGTACATTGTTTTTGTTTCTTTTAATGCATGGATTCAGCAAACCTAGATGCTCTTTTCTTAAACAATCATCAATCAATTGGAAGTATTACATTTGATTTTCTGCCTTGTGAAATCACTTTAAAATTTAGTTTAGGCTTCTAAAAGTATTATAAATATGCATGTGTGTGTGGCTACCTTAGCTTCTGTGTGCCAGTCAAGACAAATGCTCTGCTAAACTGGAATAATTCTGTGGTGGAAGCTGCTCCCTGCGCCTGCAGCTGCTTGACATGCTCAGCCAGAGGGCACGCTCGACCTGGAGATTTTCCTAACTAGTCTCTGAACATTTTCAAGAACAGAAAAGAGAAGTGGAAAGGTAACACACATTGTGAAGAAAGTTGATTACTTTTGATTTTCTAGAAGAGAAACAGAGAGCTCATTGTGTGGCTTGTAACACCTGCTCTTCTGGAACTTGGGGAGCTAAGGCAGAAAGAAGAATTGTGAATTTGAGGCCAGCATTAGCTACATCCTAAGTTCCAGGTTTGGGCTAGAAAACAAGACATGTTTTCAATAACAGCAACCAAGGGAAAAGGAAGAAGGAAAGGAAGGAAGGAAGGAAGGAAGGAAGGAAGGAAGGAAGGAAGGAAGGAAGGAAGGAAGGAAGGAAGGAAGGAAAAAAGAAAGGCAAAACTCCCCAAGGCTCAGAGGATGTCACAGAAAAAGGAATAAAAAACCTAAGAGCCGGAGGCAGGGAACAAAGCTGTGGCATGCTGTCTTTCATCTCCAAACATGACATGACCATGTCACTTGTGAACCCCCAGCAGCTGTGGTTACCTACATAAGACTCATACAAGATCAGGCCAAACAAAATCCCAGCATGCATGGGGAGGAACACACAAAGCATGGCCATAACTGAGGAGTTTTGGCAGTTGATGGCTTCTGGGTGGAGAAATTTTTTGGGGGTCATGATCATTGGTAGATTCTCATGCTCTGGTGGACAACGCTATATGCATGCATATCTGGGGTGACACTCATTGGACTCAGTACATTGGTTTTTAAATGAAGGGTCCATGAAGTTGGGAGGGGTGGAACTAGGGGAGTCAAAGCCAAGGAGTGAAGGTAGATATAATTAAAATACACCATATCTATGTATGAAATTCTCAAAAAAATATGTGTGTCTGTGTGTGCATGTGCGTGTGTGTGTTTGTGCATGTGCACATGCATGTTTTGTTTGGTTTGACTTTACTGCACACAAAGCAACAACAAACTCCAGTCATGACTGCAGTAAAAGCTCATAAAGACAGAACATGAAGTTCACAATCACAGTCGTGGCAGACCTCAAATGGCTGACTGTCTTTCTAGTTGTCCCGGGGGATGGGAATATTCTTGAGGGCCTTGAAGTCATAGAAGGGCTGTGCTCTGTAAGGGTCAGAGCCAACAGGACACATTCCCAAGGATGGGAGGGAGAGGCCAGGCTGCGACTCTGTCCCCGATTAATCTTTGGATTGTGTTCAGGAAACTCAGCTGCTTCTGAAGAGCTGCTCAGGGTCTCCTGTTCTTTATAAATTGAATCTTGCTGGGAGCTCAGAATATTTCCACAACACACGGAGGATGTTTATGCTAACATTTCATAAACAAAGATTTCTGAATCCCCAAATCCAAGGAAAGAGGTATCCAGGATCCTCTAGAATATGCTACTAACAGAGACTAGGATTTCTGTTTCTGTTCCTCCAGCAGTGAGTAGGGAGCCATTAGCAGGCTGGTCAAACCTCAGCTTGGACCACATGTGATCCAGAAACACAAATAGAAGCATAGCCAGAACACTAGTTAGGAAGAAAAAGAAAGAAGCCAGAAACAAAATGCCATGGCTGTCCCACTTCATGAGGTTCACTTTGAGGACCGCAAGGGCGTCATATTAAGAGCACTGGTCTTAAGCAGAACCTGGGGCAGGTGAGGAGCTTAGTGGTTCCATGTAGCTGTCTAAGGTGAGGGTGAAAACAACGGTTTACTCCCCATTTCTTTTTTTTTGTTACTCCCTGAATTTAGCCAGTGTGTTTGCGTGTATGTGTGTACATGTGCGTGCGTGCGCTCGCATGTATGTGTGTGGGCACACATGTGTGTGAAGGTGCACGTTTGTACACACATGTGTGAAGGTCAGAGGTTGACATCGGTTTTCTTCCTGGATACCTTCTATAATTGAGGAAGAGTCTCTCATCTGGTTAAGTGTTGCATTAGGAGCGATGGCAGGGCTGCGTCCCTGGCACCCGGCCGCCTGCATGGCTAGCTTATGCCCGAAATAATTACACGGAAACTGTATTATATTAAACACTGTCTGGCCCAGCTAGTTCCAGCTTCTTATTGGCTAGCTCTTACATATTGTTCTAACCCATTTCTAATATTCTATGTAGCCCACGAACTGGCTTACCAGGGAGGATCTTAACCTGCGTCTGTCTGGAGCGGGAGAATCATGGTGACTTCCTGACTCAGCTTCTTTTTCCCAGCATTCTGTTCTGTTTACTCCACCCACCTAAGGGTTGGCCTATCAAGGGGCTTAGGCAGTTTCTTTATTAATAAGAAATCTCTCCCACATCAGTTAAGCTAATCTAACTTGCTAGTTTGATCCAGGGATCCCCTGCTTATCTCCCTTGTGTTGTTTACTATGTGGGCTTCTACACCCCACCCCCAGGATTTATATTAGTACTGGGGTACCAAACTCTGGTGTTTACATTACCTTGGCAAGTGCTTCTGAACCACCTCCTCAGATCCTTCCTTTCCTTTCCCCTCCATCCCTTGCTTTCACTCTATCTACCTATCTATCTATCTATCTATCTATCTATCTATCTATCGATCTATCTATCATCTATCTATCTATCTATCTATCTATCTATCTATCTATCTATCTATCTATCTACATAACCAGATAGCATAAGGTTATTTTTTTTAAGGTTATTTTTTGTTTGCTGATAGTGTGATGTTTCTCTTTTGACATACATGTGCATGACTGACATTAAAGTAAGGCAAACCAGCTGTGTAGAGATGTCTGTGTACACAGATCACAAGTGACAATCTCCTGCTAAACAAGCAACCCCAAAGAAAAAGTGGCCTGACGCCCAGTTGCTGTGACTTGTAGCTGAGCTTTCTGAGCTGTGCTTCCCAAGCTTGACTACACACTAGAAATCCCAGAGAACTTACAAAGCAGTAACTGTCAGGCTCAGTTTTGCAGACTCAGATTGCATTTGTTTGGAGTGAAGCCCCGGCATTGATGCATGCCTTCAGCTCCTCAGATGAGCATGGTGAGGACGACGTCTGCCAGCCCGAGTTTACAGGGGCCACCCAGCCAGGTAAAGCCTGTCTACCTATGCTTCTTAAAGGGCGGTGCACTAAGGTCAGTAGATAGTCTAGTCATAGGGGCGGGGGCGTGGTTGAAGAAGGAGATGGCTCCCTTGGACTTGTCTCTTACCTCTATGCTGATAAATGTTTAGGGATGCTGTGGTATGTCTATGTGCATTTTCTACTATCGGCCTCTGAAATCCTGGTGGCTGACTGATCAGTTGGCATGTAGCAGCCGGTAGACCTGCAGTGTGTGCTTGTGGAATGAATTACAACCAATCAACCAATCAAACAAACAAACACCACAATCACAGAGCTGCTATGGTGGACCTCTTTTAGCAATGCCATATTCCTCTCCACCATCCTAAATCCTGATTCTCTGGAAATGAGGTTCCAGTACCCATTCTGATGAATTATTCCATAGTAAGAAGAGTTATTAGTCTTTGCTGGTGATTAGTGATAAAGTCAATTGTCTCCAGCAAATCTGGAAGAGACATGTTAGGCAGGTCTATGCCTTCCTTGTGCCCTAGCTGACTTTTGATGGGAACTCAAGAAAGTCTGCTTATTTCAAATCAT